CTGAAAGGGGAAAAAATAAAACGTAAATAAACATGAGTATGTACAACAACTGGGAGTACTAATCAAATTCTTGTAAAAGACCGCATTAACGTTAATAGATACACTAATAGATAAAATCAAGGAAAATCACAGTGCAACCAGGGCAATGTAACAATTGGAGGAATATCCGCTTTTCCGAAACATTTTCATGCGATTCTTGTCCTCCTCATTCTCTCTGTTCTCTCCACCATTCCATTAATCTCAACTCATCGACGTAGCAACATCCACATCGCCATTAGTATCCGCCCACCTAGACACGCCCACACAGTTCCTCCCAATCAGTGACCTTAATCACCTGCGGACTCCAGGTGGGGACTTTGCCTCCGTCAGCGCCGGACCATTTTCTGCGACACTCGGTACTTAGGCGCCCACGCCTATCAAATTAACCCATTTCTCCTCTTCTCTCTCTCTCTCTCTCTCTCTCTCTCTCTCTCTCTCTCTCTCTCTCTCTCTCTCTCTCTCTCTATATATATATATATATATATATATATATAATATAGATTTGTGTGTGTGTGTGTGTGTGTGTGTGTGTGTGTGTGTGTGTGTGTGTGTGTGTGTGTGTGTGGTGTGTGTGTGTGTGGTGTGTGTGCGCGCCGTATATATGTATGTATGTATGTATGTATACATACATGCACGTAAGTATTGTTTGTAAGTATGTATGTATGTATGTAAGTATGTATACATATATGCACTTAAGTACTGTTTGTATGTATGTATCGATTCATATATTGACAAGCCATATATTTCATGAAAGTAATTTTTGACAATAATCTACGCCAAATATATCCATCTTTCACTCGCACGCCGATGTACAGAGGATCATAAAACGCCCACAACAGCACATGTACACCTGCTCTCGTTCGAACCCCCGTGGCAGCACCTCTTCTGCCTGGCATAAGGAAAGCACGACTAAAAAGTATTACGCAAAAGTGTTCAGCTGAAAGATAAGGTTCATTACACCTCGCTAATTTGACCTTTCGGGCACCTCTTCATACGGAGTCGTAACGTTAAGCGAGAGGAAACAGACACTGAAAAGCAGAGAACGTTGCTTGCCACACTCTCGACTCTCGTGGAAAAGCTGGTCGTACGCGGAACAGAAGCGACAACGTGAAAGACGAACGGAAGCGATGCCACTGTACTGGGAGAGCGGTCGTTTAACATGAGGTCGTTGTGTGAACGAAGAGGATGTTCATATAGTGTCACCCGATCAAAACCCGTTACTGTGGACGTGACTTGAGGTTACCCGTTGAAAAAAAAAAAAAAAACATGAGAAGGCCTGAAGCAAGAGAAAGTCTGAAGCATAAGATCTGAAGCAAGAGAAGGTGTGAAGCATGAGAAAATCTGAAGCAACATGAGCAGTTCTGAAGCATGAGAGGATTTTGTGAAGTCCCGTCTAAATGAGAGAAATGAGTGGTAGTATAATGTAATTACGTGATAAATAAATTAACATACAACACCGTATTTTTTGTTTCAATTTGTTTAGTGACCGATACTTCTAATTACACAATCTTAACCCAAAAGTTGACGTAAGAAACGAAAGCGAGTACTTTGAAAGGCGCGGGGCTGGCCTAGGACCGCTGGTGAACTCTCACTCATACAAGAACACAAGCTAACAGGGGGAAAATAAAGGGGGAAATGCCCCTGCATTCCCCTCTTTCAAAACAGCCGAGGGAAAGAGAGTGAGAAGGCCAGGCAAGAGAGAAATGTCACCAGACGTTGCTCAGGCCCGGATGTTATGCTCTGCTGGGTAATTTGACTTCTTATCACACAAGGCGACACAGACACACACATGTACCATTGTACATGCACATACGATCTCTCTTCCTCTCGCTTTATTTCTCCAATTCTAGCAATTCTCTCATATTTACATATTTCCTCCTCCCCCCCTCTCCCTCTCTCTTTCTATCTTTCTTTCTCTCTCTCTCTCACCCTCGATCACCCTATCCCTTTCTCTATCTCTCTATCCCCCTCTCTCCATCTCTCTATCCCTTTCAATCTCTCTCTCTCTCTCTCTCTCTCTCCCTACATCTCTTTCCATCTCTCTCTCTCTCTCTCTCTCTCTCTCTTCTTCTCTCTCTCTCTTTCTCTCTCTCTCTTCTCTCTCTCTCTCTCTCTCTCTCTCTCTTCTCTCTCTCTCTCTCTCTCTCTCTCTCTCTCTCTCTCTCTCTCTCTCTCTCTCTCTCTCCTCTCCTCTCTCTCTCCTCTCAACTCTCTCTCCCTCCAAACTCTCTCTCCTCCAACTCTCTCTCCCTCCAACTCTCTCTCCCCTCCAACTCTCTCTCCCTCCAAACTCTCTCTCCCTCCAACTCCTCTCCCTCCAACTCTCTCTTCCTCCAACTCTCTCTCCCCTCCAACTCTCTCCTTCCCTCCAACTCTCTCTCCCTCCAACTCTCTCTCCCTCCAACTCTCTCTCCCTCCAACTCTCTCTCCCTCCAACTCTCCTCCCTCCAACTCTCTCTCCCTCCAACTCTCTCTCAAACTCTCTCTCTCCAACTCTCTCTCTCCATCTCTCTCGCACTCCATCTCTCTCGCACTCCATCTCTCCTCTCCATCTCTCGCCACTCTATCTCTCCATCTCTCTCATCCATCTCTCCATCTCTCTCGCACTCCATCTCTCCATCTCTCTCGTACTCCATCTCTCCATCTCTCTCGCACTCCATCTCTCCATCTCTCTCGCACTCCATCTCTCCATCTCTCTCTCTCTCTCTCTCCCTTCTCCTTCTCTCTCCTCTCACTCTCTCTCTCGCCCTCTCTCTCCTTTCACTCCATCTCTCTCTCTCTCTCTCTTCTCTCTCTCTCTCTCTCTCTCTCTCTCTCTCTCTCTCTCTCTCTCTCTCTCTCTCTCTCTCTCTCTCCTCTCTCTCTCTCTCCCTCTCTCTCCCTCTCTCCCTCTCTCTCCCTCTCTCTCTCCCTCTCTCTCTCTTCTCTTCCCTCTCTCTCTCTCTCATCTCTCTCCTCTCCCCTCTCCTCTCTCCCCTCTCCCTCTCTCTCCTCCCCTCTCTCCTTTCTCTCCCTCTCTCCCTTCCTCTCCCTCTCTCCCTTCCCTCTCCCCTCTCTTCCTCTCCTCTCCCTTTTCCTCTCCCTCCTCTCTCCTCCTCTTCCCTCCTCTCTCTCTCCCTTCCTCTCCCTCTCCTCCCTTCCTCTCCCTCTCTCCCTTCCTCTCTCTCTTCCCTCTCCCTCTCCCTCTCCCTTCTCTCCTTCTCTCCCTCTCCCTCTCTCCCTCTCCCTCTCCCCTCTCCCTCTCCCTCTCCCTCTCCCTCTCCCTCCCCTCTCCCTCTCCCTCTCCCTCTCCCTCTCTCCATCTCCCTCTATCTCTCTCTCCACAGCCTCAAAATAAATTCAGACCCAAAGTACATCCATAAATTCAGTTTCTCCACATGAGCTCAGTGTCCCTCTCCGTCGTCCTCTCTCTCCCTCGTGTAAGGAAAGGGAAGTGCGTGTCATGCGAGCCGCCCTGGTACACGTGAGGCAACTGCAGGTGGCGTCCCATTGACACATGTCATGGGGGTGGAGGGCTGGGGTAAGGGGGTGGATGGCTATCTGTCACTGGATTTTTGCACGGCTCTCTGTCTCTGTCTTAGTCTTTGGCTGTCTCTTGTTTTCTTCTCTCTCTCTTTCTTAATTTCTTTCTTTTTCTTTATCTATTTCTTAATTTCTCTTTTTTTTAACTCTCTCTCATCAGTCTCCTCTTCTCTCTCTCCCTCCCTCCTTCTTTCTCTCATCTCTCTCTCCTCTCCTCTCTCCTTCTCTCTCTCTCCTCCCTCCTTCTTTCTCTCTCTCCTTCTTTCTCTCTCTCCCTCCCTCCTTCTTTCTCTCTCTCCCTCCCTCCTTCTTTCTCTCTCCTCCATCCTTCTTTCTCTTCCCTCCCTCTCTCTGTCTTTCCCTCCCTCTCTCTCCCCCTTCTCTCTCTCCCTCTCCCGTTCTTTCCCTCCCTCCCTCCCTCCCTCCCTCCCTCCTCTTCCCCTCCCTCTCTCTCCCCTCTTCTCTCTCTCCTCTCCTCTTTCTTTCTCTCTCTCCCTCCCTCTCTTCCCTCTCTTCTCTCTCCTCCCCCTTTTTCTTTCCCTCTCTCTCTCCCTCCCTCCCTCTTTCTCTTTCCTTCCCTCTCTCCCTCTTTCTTTCTTTCCCTGTCTCTCTCTCCCTCTTTCTTTCCCTCCCTCCCTCACATGAAGGAGGGACGTCGACCCGGCATTGTAGAGATGCCTTCGCCCCCACACGGGCGGCTCCTCTGAGGCGGAATACACCATACGCGTTCAGTGCATACCCCTTTCGATCGCAAAAATTCCGGTCTGTGCTTCCAGGTCATACGTATAGAGGCCTATGTGGAATACTTCCTCTAGTTCTCTATCTGCTTCTGTTCTCTCCTTTCCTTTTCGCATCTTTCTTACTCTCCCTCCCTCTTCCTCTTCTAATTCTTTTCTCGTTCACTCTCCTTTTCCCTCTCCATCTCTCAGTTTCCTCTCGCTTCCCCTCCCTATCTGTTTCCTCTTCCTCCCAACTCTCCCTCTCCTCCTCCTTCTCCCCCTATCCTTCTCTACCTCCTTCTTCTCCCCCTCTAAATGCTACAACCGCACGCACTATGAGCTGCACTGAGGTCCCAGCAATAACATCTTCATGCGCAGAGACTCGCCTTTCCTCCCAACCGCCAAAAAGTGATATGGGATCGACTGTCGCTCATTGGCTGTGCAGCTGAGGTGCCCTCACGCAAACCCTTAATAACGCCAAAAGGATTATTCACCAAGAGTCATTTATCAACGGATAAATATTGTAATTTCTTCCTGGCTCACTCTCGCTGTCAGTCTCTCCCCGCACGCGCATAGACACGTGGTCACACTTACCGACACGGACACCGATTTTCTGTGTCTACAAGTATTTGTCCTTAACACAAAAACGATATCTATCTATACCTAAATCTACAAATATATATATATATATATATATATATATATATATATATATATATA